GCCTGCCCTTCAGCAACTTCCAGAGCAGTGGACAGTCCCATGTGGGCCAGTGCTGTGAGAGGCACATTAATGAGCTGCCATTAATGAAGCTGCGATTAATGAGCTGTAGGAGCAAAGGAGGGATGGACTCAGCTGGAATCTGCCAGAAAGGCATTAGCCTAGGAGGCCTTGATTGAGGGGATTTTAGAGAAGCAGAGAACAGGGGTGATAGCAGCTGGGGACTTCGGGAACCTGGGGCCAGTGCCAGCAAAGGTGTCTCCAAGAGCAAAGCTGAGAGAAGCACTTTCTACTGAGACATGGGGCTCAGGATGTGAGGCACTGAGGGCAGATCCAGTGGCTAGGGAGGAGGTGTGTGTGGCAGGTGTGCGTCACCAGGCTCCCCTTTCCCCCAGGCATGGGCTGCAACGAGTGCACACACCCCACCTGCCAGCACTCACTGAGCATGCTGGGCATTGGCCAGTGTATAGAGTGCGAGAGCGGCATCCTGGTGCTGGACCCCACTTCAGGCCCCAAGTGGAAGGTGGCCTGCAACAAGTGCAACGTGGTGGCCCACTGCTTCGAGAATGCCCACCGTGTACGGGTGTCTGCCGACACCTGCAATACCTGTGAGGCTGCCCTGCTGGACGTGGACTTCAACAAGGCCAAGTCTCCATTGCCAGGTGACGAGACACAGCATACAGGCTGTGTTTTCTGCGACCCTGTCTTCCAGGAGCTGGTGGAGTTGAAACATGCAGCCTCCTGTCACCCTATGCACCGTGGCGGTCCCGGGAGGAGGCAGGGCCGAGGGCGGGCTCGGGGCCGGCGGCCACCAGGGAAGCCCAACCCCAGGAGGCCAAAGGACAAGATGTCAGCCCTGGCGGCCTACTTCGTATGACAGCTGTGTCCTCCCTCACCCAGACTCCAGTTCGTTGCAAACACATCGCAGTGGTTGTCTTTGAGCTACTGAAACCATTAAAATGCATTTGTCTTCTCCAGAGCAAGAAGCTTGGGGCCTTTCACTAGTATAGCAAAGTCAGAGGATTCCTATATCCCTGAGAACCTGTGGGGCTCCCTCCCCTCTGTGTCACCCCTCCATCCTGTGTGGGTCCAAAATGTTCCCTGCTCTACCCATGCCCTGGCAGTGCCTCCAAGTGAACCCATAAAGTCTGGAGCCATGGGGAATAGAGCCAGCCTGCAGCTCCCATCCTGTCTCAGTATGCATACCATGACAATAGCTGTAAGGAAAGTGAACGTCCATAGCCCATCAGTCTAGGAAGCATCATAGGACAGAGGCCCATACCAGAATAGAAAAGGATCTGAGGAGAGCTGTAGAGAAACAGCAATCCACACAGTCATGAAATCCCAGCCCTAGTTCCTAATGAGCCAACACTAGAATTTCCTGAAACACTGTGGGAAAGCACTCCAGAAGTTGAAAGAAAACGTTGAGGGAGAGGTGTCACTCTGGGAAGGCTCCCCCGGAGGATAGGCTCCCAGGGAAGCGGTATAGCAGTTGATGGTATGGTATGTCTCAAAGGAACAAGCATTGTGAAGAAAGGGACATTGAAAGCTTCTGCCCTGTCCCCACCCACTCTGGTCCTATTCTGGGGCTCTGATAAAGCTACTATTGTTTGTCGGTAAAGTCTCTGACACAGGGCTGTGACTTTGCTCTTCTGCCCACATAGCCATGTCAGAGCAGACCCAACCTTTTCTCCAGAAGAAGGCAATTTGAGCCCCTGATACTCCAGAACCCTTCCAGGGACCAGCCCAGTTATAGGGTTAGTTTGGGTCTACCTTAAACCCAGACCACCCATTCCATCCCTACCAGGATCCTGCACTGAGATTTCAGCCATAAAGGGCTGATTTTAAAGTATCCCTTTATTTTTCTCTGCAACTGTCCCTTGTATCTGAATTTCTCTCACATAGATCCCTTGACCTTTGAAGCAGGATTCTGCACTCCTGGTCCCTTTACTTTATACAGTACCACCCAGTGGAGTCCTTCCAATCCATGTCCTCTGCTAGCCTGGCCTCGGAGCAATCAGGATGAGGAAGGGATGAGCCCTGCTTTGGGCCGGACCTGTCTCCTTAGCAGCTCTTTGGGACCATCTCCCCTGCCCTGCAGGCTGAAGAGGACAGTGGCTGAGGGCCACTGAGGGAGCTATGTGCAGGATCTCAGACCAGCCCTCCCTCCCCAGCTTTGTACATGGCTCATAGTGACAGGGCCTGGTTGTCTAGCTGACTTGGCTGGACACAGACTGTTGTTCTTTATAGACTTCATATGTTACCTTGAGATCATGGTGCACATCGACACTAGGGGTGTGTGTGTGTGTGTGTGTGTGTGTGTGTGTGTTTATATGCCACTAAATTCCAGGGCTGCAGGATAGGACCAAAAGGCACCACTGACCTGCAGCTACACACTCACTTTCTTCCATTCCCCATGAAGAAACTAGCAGTTAAAGGAGACCCAAGAGTCTCCTTTAGAAGGTATAAGGTGCCATTGAGCACCCCAATGCAAGTATCCTGGAAGGTCAGGAGTAAGGGCTTTGCAATTCCTGAAGTCACAGGCATCACCAAAAGTTTGAAAGCCCGAGTGATATAATCCTAAAATGAGTCTGGGAATATGTGTGGTGTGATGAGATGAAGGTGTTTCTATCCACCTGCAGGTGGCGGAAGTCCTCATGGAGCAGGAGCAGAGGGTTCAGAGCAAGCTTTCAGAACGGGACATTTGGGGACTAGGAGAAAGTTCAAGAGGGTGGAGGTAGGAGGATGTTATGGTTTATGTCTTAACGTCCTCCCAAATCTCCATGCGCTCACAGATGGGGCTTTTCAGAGGTGATTGGATCATGGGTGTGTGGTACAATTGGATTAGTCCAATGACAGGTCAATAGCTGAGTGTGGTGTTCAGAGGTGAAGACTGGTGGGAAGAGTTGGGTCACTATATACAAGTATATGTATCCCTTCTGCCTTAAGCATGCTGCCTTCTGCCTGCCATGCCATGAACTGTTTCTCCTCTGCCATGGCACACCCTGCCTTGGAACCAGTTGACTGTGTCCTGAGACAGTGGTAGACCCAGGGCTAAGCACTCTGGGGTTCCCTGGCTCTCTAGCTAGGGGCACAGCCTGGCCGGAGAAGCAGGGACTCTGTGGCCAGTAGGATGGGTGATACAAGATCCTTTTCACAATAATGAAAGCTAGGAGCTGAGGTGTGATGGAATGCAGATAGGCATTGACAGAAGCCTCAGGGCATGAGTAATCTCACAGGCCTGTCCCTGGTTTAGAGCCCAGTTGGGGCAAGTTCCCAGTGACCACTTAGCTTTGCAATCATTCTCTATAAACTGCCAACCTCAGATGGAATTGGTGCTCAGGAGTCTAATATGGCCCCCACTGAGGAAGCCCATAGGTATATCAGCTTTCTCTGGCAGCACATCTGATAGTGTGGGAGGGCCTGCCATATATACCACCTTGCCTGTACTACGGCTCTCAAACTTCACCTCACAGCCATTCTGATTAGGTGTCCTTGGCACACTTGGAAAAACACTGGCTCAGGATCTCATAATAACCCTATGAAATAGTTTGGTTTCTTTTGTCTTTATTTTTCTGGTAAAGAAACAGACTTGGGTGAACTAAATATCCCCAAGTTTATAAGAAGTAGCCTCAAGACATGCTCATTGTTCCTGCGTTGACAAGGATCTAGGATGGGGTAAGTAGGAGAGTGGGTGAGCCAGGACCCCACCCCCTGCCCAAACACCCACTGCCTGACAGATCCACCCCCAACCCAGATTTCCTTTCCTGGCTACTTGTCCAGGTTCCTGGCTTCGCCAAAACCCTCCAATTAGTGAAACATCCCCAAGACCTTAATTCCTGGGAAGGACATAGGCCAGTGTGGTCCTGTAGGTCAGGTGAGCAGGACTCTTGAGGGCCTGGTCTCCATAATAAAATTAAAGTCAGGTGTGGTGCCACACACCAGTAATCCCAGCATTCTACCAGGCTGAGGCAGGAGGATCATAAGTCCTAGACCAGCCTGGACAACTTGGTGAGTTGGAGAACCACTGTTTCAAAACATTAAAATATGAGCTGTGGATTTAGCTCAATATTAAGACTGCCAAAAACTTTTTTTCTGGTACCAGGGATAGAACTCAGGATCAAACTCACTTGCCAGGCAGGTGCAGTGCCACTGAGCTAAATCCCTGGCACACCAAAAACTTTTTAAAATAAAAAATCTAATTACATTTTATACCTGCATCAGTATGGAGATGAATATATTATTACACATTAAAACATTTTCTTTGACCTAAAAGTTTATTTCTTCCTGGCTTTCATGGAAAACATTTTTGTAAACCTCTATGGTGGCAGAAATATGACCCCCCCCCAAAATATCCATATCCTTATACTCAGAACTTGTGTCAATGTTAGGTTATATGGCAAGGGGGGAATTAAGGTAGTTAATCATCTCACTTCAAAATATACTGTTACCTGGGTGTGGGTGGACCCAATGTTATCACAAGGGCCTTTAGAAATAGCACAAGGAATCAGGAGGGAACCAGAGAGGTGGCAGCAAAAGAATTTGGCTGGCCTTTGCTGGCTTTGCAGGTGGAGGAAAGGACACTAAGCCAAGGAATATTGGTAGTTTTAGAAGCTGGAAAGGGCAAGGAAAGAGCCAAGAGCCCCTAGAAAGGAGCAAACTTTGTTGACGCCTGGATATCAGCTCATAGAGACCATAGAGGCTTCTGACCTCCAGAATTGTGAGATAACAAATCTGTGTTGTTTTAAGTTTTGTGGACACTTACCCTCTAAAAGTGTGGGCTCCAGAGCACTGTGCCTTCTGCCCCGATAGATGATTTGCATCCTGCTCTGCAACATATCGCACAAATTGCTTAAGTCCTGGGTACTGTGAGGTAAAGATTGCTTTCCTCAACTAGCCTCCCATCCAAGGCTGGAGCAGCGAGGCATATCACCAGTCAACGGGGCGCAGGTGTCCGCATGAAATAAAAGAACCGCAGTTGCGGGATGCGAGACCGCCAGGGGGCAGCAGAAACAGCCCCGCCCGCTGGGAGGTCTGACTGCGCCGGCGCAACGCCCGCGGCGGCCCGGGACGGGAAGTGGGCGGGGCCGGCCGGGAGCGGCTTGCGGGGCGCGGAGCTGCTGGGTGGCAGGTGAGGCCTGCGGGGACCTAGGGGTGGGGAAGCCCCGGAAGCAGGATTGGGGCGCTGACGGGCCTGGGGTGACGGTCAGGTGGGGGTTCAGGGTGCACAAGGGTAAAGTGGGGTTCAGGAACCTGAGGGGCGGAATAGGGGGTCTGGGACAGCTGGGAGGCCGAACTGAGGCTCAGATGCAGGCACCCTAGGGGTGGAATGGGGGCTGAAGAGCGAAAGAGCCGCTGGAGGCCCTGGGGAACCGAAGGCGAGGAATCAAAGGGCTGCGGAGCTAAAGGTGTGGAACTGGGGGTCCTTTGGGTTGGCGAGGGTGTGGCCGAGCAGAGGGCTTTGTCGGGGTCCAGGACTGTGAGGCAGAACTGGGTGCTGAGGGGTGACACACTCACATTTTTAAGGAGCCAGCCTATCCCACTCCGCAGGAACAAGTGGGCCAGGTCCACTGCTCTCCCCACTAACATCACGCAGGCCCCTTTGTGAGGCCACATCTCGGCCTGCGTCCTCCTACCCCTGGCTCCCCAGGGGTCTTTAAGATGAGTGTTTAAGTTCAAGCACTGCTTGGACTGCAGCTGCTTCAGCTGTGGATTGTTTAAGGTACAGCCTTAAGCATGGAGACCTTGAGCACCACCTCTGCAGCTGGGTGATCCCAAGCAAACCCGTTAACCTCTCTGTGCAATAGGGAGAAATAGCACCTGCCTGTAGGGATTTTTGCACAGGGCCTAACACAGTTGGCTCCATCATGCGGTCCCCCTAGTGACAGATTCTCATGGTGTTCCCTGGGGCAAGTTTTGTGGGCTGAGCTGTGCTTCCATCTCAGGGGTTAATATGAGGCTGGCAGGCACTCTGAGGCCATCTCTAACTCATTTCTGACTTTTATACCCATGCCCATACAATTTTTACTTTTCCTCCTACATCCAGTTGAGGTGGAAGTGGCAAAGTCATGGGGCATCAGAAGCTCCCTATTGAGTCCTGCTTTGCCATTTCCTACTCCTGTGATCGTAGAGGGACGCTTGCCCTCATCCCCCCCCCCCCCGCACTTCTCCATCTGCACCGTGTCCTAATGGTATGTATTTGTTAGCATAGTTGTGAAAGATAAGAGTGTCCTAACGGTGTGTATCTGTCAACATATACACCTTGTGAAAGGTAAATAGAATGAGTACCACTTTGAAAGCTGTAAATCTTTGCACAAGTTCATTTGTGGAATTCCTTTGAGATGTACAGGAAGCCAGCCCTGTCTTTCAGACCTGTGTCATCTCCCCACTGTACTGGGAGAGTGTTTAGTTTCCTCTCTGAAGGTGCCAGGCTCAGGCCACACATCTCAGCCCATGATGGCAACTTCCTCTTCTTTGTCCCCACACTTACCACCTGCTGAACACAAACGTTCAGAGTGGATTCCCTGACCACAGCAAGTGAGCTTGGGATCCTTCAATAAAAGAAACCCTGTAAAAAGAAAAGTGGTTTAACGAGAATGAAATGTGCTTAATACCACAGAGGTATACATTGAAAATTGTTAAAGTAGGGGCTGTGTTGCCAGCTCAGGTAGAGCTTATGCTTAGCGTGTACATTTCCCAGCACTGAAAAAAGCAAAAGTTTAAAGTGAATGATAAATTGTGTTATATGTATTTGATCACAACAAAGTGTGTATACACACACACAGGAAACGATCAGGAAAGGTTTAAACCAAACTATTCCTAATGGTTCTTTATGAATAAAGAAACAAGATTCTCCATTGGTAGAGGAAAAAAAGTTAATATTGACTACAATACTTTCAAAACAGCAGTTTCCATTTTTAAGAATTACTGGGGTGTTTTTGTTTTTGTTTTTGTTTTTTGGTACCGGGGATCGAACTCAAGACCTTGTGCTTGCAAAGCGGGTGCCAGAACCACTGAGCTAAATCCCCGGCCCTTACTGGGGTTTTTTAAAACCAGGATTCTGAAATAAAACTCAACAAGTATTTTTCTCTATGCCACCTAGGAAAAAAACGCAGTCTTACAAATATGCTTTAGTTGGGCTTATGTGTCAAAACTGGTAAACTAAAGGAAAATAAATATTTCAAATTTTACAAAAACCTTTGTATAAGGCAGGTGAAAGCAAAAGGACCACAGAGCCATGAAAGCTTGCTGGACCCCAGAGGTGGGAAAATGTAAGCAAAGCCTCATAGGGTGAGAGAGATCTCAGTGGTGGGGCAGCACAGTACAGGAGTGGGGAGGTGGGAGCTGTCCTAGGGCATTGGGCACAAAAGTAGGAGCCTTGAGAGCTGAATCTGGGAGTTGGTGACCAATGAGGGCCAGGGACAGGAAGGAGTCAGATCAGCTTGTAGGGTTTGTCACAGGAGCCAGGCTCCCCAGCGTGCACCTTACCTTATGCTATAGCCTGGACATGTGAAGTGGAGAAACCCACAGCAAAGATCTCAGGAGGTTAAAAGAGGTAACACAGGAAGAGTGCTCAGAGCAGTGCTGGCACCCCAGGGCTCTGGCAAATATTAGCTGGCAGCACCACCATACCATGTAGCTGCCAGCTGATGAGAAGTGTAGAAGGGCCCTGTTCTGGGAGCTGGGAGGAACCAGCCAGGGGTCACATTTGGCTGGCACCTCTGAGGTTGGAAGCCAGAGTCCCTCCTGTGCCCCCTGCCCCATCCCTGGCAACTTGCACACATCCCTCCCACCAGTGATGCCAGTGAGTCAAGACAACCCTGCAACAGAGCAACTCCACCTTCTCGCCACCGACCTCATCCAGTGACCACCTGTCAGCCAGCTAGCACCTGCCTCCTCAGACTGTCTCTTCCAGGGACCCCAAAAGAACTCAGGACCTAGGCACTGTCCCCTGCCCACCTAGGCACTCTCAAGGCTCCTGGTTCCCCCTTTGAACAGGTAGGAATTTCTTCCTTTCACTGCTGCATGCCTTCCTCTCTAGGCTGTGGGGTTCTAAAGGCAGGGATTATTTTGCTCTTGTTGGTATGGCATGCATCAGACTTGGGAGTTCATTCTGGGGAAAAAAGAACATGGAAGGAAATTATCCTTGTCCTTTACCTGTGTCTGGGCCCTAGGAAGGAAAACTGTTCTGGTTTTTCTCACCTCTGGCCCAAGCTGGGTGATGTAGAAATGAGTCTCAGTGGTCTCCAGCAAGCAGGATAGGTTCTGGACACTCTGCCTTTCTAAGACCAATCTTTTTTTTTCCCCCAGTATCAGGAATCGAACTCAGGACCTTGCACTTGCCAGGCAGGTACAACACTGCTGAGCTAAATCCCTGGCTCCACTCTGCCTTTCTAACAAAAGTGGGCATCTGGCACTAGTCCTGAGAGTAAGTCATCCTGTCCCCTCTGCAGATGCAGCAGAGCTCTGCACGTAAGCATCATCGTGTCACACCGTGCTACCCCACTCACCACCACGTCCCACTCAGTGCTCATGGTACAAATGGCAGTTGAGGCCCATGGCAGGCTCTGGGCTCAGGATAGTAGGCATAGGGCTCAGAGTGCAGGCAGGTGGCAGGGCACATAATGGGCTTGCAAGAGTCAGGATCTGTAGTGCTGTGTGTGGACCAGAGTAGCCTCCAACCCCAAGGGAAGCAGGTACAGGAAGTACCCTCAAAGCCAGGAGACAAGAAGAGAATGCTCAGCAGAGTGCCACCGAGAAGCAGGCTCGAAGGTGGAGGGCCTTGAATTCTGTACTTGAAAGTGGAGCCATATGCTGTGGCCTGAGGTTTCTGCAACTGTTATGTGGTGTGAACATGCTGACTTTCATTTTGAGCCTAATGGCAAATTTACTGTGAGCACATTTAGCACAGCCGGGGATTTTAGTACCTCTCCATCATTTAGAATTGCATGGGAGCCAGGCCTGTTACAAACTCTTGCCAGTTGCTTGGGGTCCCCTCTGCATTACTCATAGCACTAGGAGGCCAGAGCAGTTCACAGGCAGAGGAGGGGGCTTGGTCCTGGGCTTGTGGAAAATTCACTCCATCTCTTTGTTGTCTTCTCCTGGGTTTAAAGCTCCAGGATCTGCAGCTGTGCTGGTCTGCACTGGCACACCCTGCCTTTCCTCCTTCCGCCTCGAGTCCCGCCGGCTCTCACTGCTCCATTTCACAAGGTCTTACCTTTGTGGTTAGTGTATAAGTGCTGCTCCCATCCTGCTTTTTCCTTCTTTGCTTTACATTCTTTATCTTTTCACCTACTTGCCCTTTGTAACCCAGACAATGAGTTTCATCTACTTAGACTTGTGAGTAAATGTGAAGATTGAATTTAAGTCTATCCCCATAACCATCAATAACAAGTATCCCTATTTCTACATTCTTTGTATTTATTTATTTTAAACAAATTAACTTGATTCCTGTCTCTAAAATAAGGGAGAGGTTTTTTTGGTTTTTGTTTTTTTAAATTTCTCAGCCTTTAGTCTTCACACCCCAGATCCTTCTCTGTTTTGATCTGGTGATGAGACTCTTGCCCCATCTACCTAGGTATATAGTACCTCTCCAGCCAGAGCTTAGGAAGCCTGAGCCATTCTGAATTCATGACTCACTCCTACTAGAGAGCACTGACCAGGTTTGACAACATCTCAGAGTGCACCATGCCAGGCCAGCCTTCTGCTTCTGTCTTGTCTACCTCTTGGGAAGCCCTGGGGTCTCTAAGGAGCCCTTCTTGCTCCCATTTTGGACCATCTCCCAAATACCCAAACTGCAACCTAGAACCCACTCATTTACTGCAAAGTGCCAACACTGCAATTAAACCTGAATACTGAGGTTTTAGTTTAGAAAAAAACAACTGTTATCTGATGCTCAGCTGCTGTGGAGACTTGCTGACAGAGAGGGCTCTGCATGCCATAGGTTCACCACCATTGCCCTAAACTATCTCTGTGGCCCCAGCAGATGTCCCTTCTCCCACCTGGTCACCATTTCCAGGCACACAAACCTGATGACATCACTTCCTCCCCTCAGAACCCTTTTGGCTGCAAGGGTCCCATGGTCAGGTCTGTCACCTGCCTCAATAGCCTGGCTGGGTCCTTCTCCTGTTCTCATCTGGCTATACCAGCCACTCTCTGCTGGGAATGCATCTTCCTCCTCTGTTACTTCTCCAAAATTTCCACATGGCTGCTGTCGCCAGCATCATCTGAGGCTGCTCTCTGGGCACCCTCATGACCTCACGTACACCCGTGTTAGGACACTACCTGGGGTCATCACTCCATTTGTTTGCCCTCTCTGAACTGTGAGGCCCAGGACTTAGAGAGATGCCTGCTGAATGGTTACTTGCAAGTAACGGAGACAAAGCAAGACACTTGCACTCTACATCGTAGGACACTTATCACTCTGTGATCTTGCCATCTCTCCCCAGAGTGAAGACTAACTGGAGACTGTCACATCCTGGTCCCAGCTACGAGCCACCCGGGATGCTCTGGGTGTCACCTCTGGTGCCCCACAGAACATCAGCCAGATGGCTTGTGGCTCAGAGATCCCAGGCTTTCTGGATATACTCTTCCGAGACTTCCCAGACCCACTGAGTCCGGAGAGCCCCTTGCCATGGAAGGCCCTGGGAACAACGCTGAGTCAAGAGGAGGTGGAGGGCGAGCTGACTGAGCTGGCAATGGGCTTCCTGGGCAGCAGGTAGGCCTGTGCTATCGGGGAGGGAGGGAGACTGGGCTCCAGCAGAGGGGGTACATGGCATTCACCCTGTATAGATGGGAGCAGGCTCTGCCAAGTATATGGGCCATACCCATCTGTGACACATAGCCACATGGCTCAGGATGTGGTGCTCTGTGACTGCGCTCCACAAGGTGGGAGATGTGTGCAAAGGGTGCTGTTGGTACATTTCGGGGAAATGTTTTGGAGACAGATGGTATAAAGTGAATTGGCCCCCTTGGGCAGGTGCAGGAGGGAGAGAAGAGTCTGAGTCTGCCTTCTGGAGAGGAAAGAGCCATCAAATAGTGGCACTCAAGAGAGTTGAGGGAGTTCTGGCTGGGGGACAGTAGTCACTGGGCCCTCCATGGAAGAGACAAGGAGCTGTCACTGCCTTTGGGGGATCAAGGGAATCAAGGAAGAAAGCCAGGTCCAGGAGGATTTTAGTAGGCTGACGAGGGAATGTGGTCAGAGCTCTGGGGGTCAGGTGGGAGCCCCGGGTTTGCAAGGCCTCTGAGCTGAGGCATCAGTGCAAGAGGGGGACAGGCCACACTGCAGGGCCTGGAAGAGGCCTTCAGTTCCCCTGGAGAGGGCTGGCTTTGCTTTACAGCAGTGAATGGAAAGAGGTGAAGCATGAAGAGGGTGTTGTCAGTGACCAGCAGCAGAAGGTGCTCTGCCCAGGGAAGGGCTGAGCAGGAGCTGGGATTCAGGCCAGGGGTATGCAGGGGTATACAGCCTTGGGCCCCAGTAGGTTTTAGACATGTTGAGGAAGAGCCAGAACTTGTTTGACATGGATGTTAGTGGTAAGAAATGGGTGAGGGACCAAAGCCTTCCTTTGGTCTGAGGGTGGTGGGGGTGGCACAGAGCTCCCAGGGTAGGGGGACTCCTGTGGCCCCCATATGCATCCACCTTAACACATCTTAAAATGTGTTATAAAATAGAGTATTTTTAGGTCTTCTGTTTCCCAGCCATCTTAATGAATTTGTTATTTTCTTTTCTTTCTTTCTTTTTTTTTTTTTTTTTTTTTTGTACTGGGGATCAAACTTGGGACCTTGTGCTTTCGAGGCAGGTGCTAGAACCACTAAGCTAAATCCCCAGGCCATGGATTTGTTATTTTAGTTCTTTTCTAGTATTTTGTCTCCTCTACAGACATGCACATTGATAGGTGCAGCCATCGCTGGGGGTCTGTCCACAGGCACTCACCACACACATGCACCTGTATGGTTGCTGAGCCTCAGGACCTCCTTTGTGCCCAGCTCCTGCACTCACAGCCCAGGCATAGGCTCGTGGGTATAAAGGGCTTTGAGTCTACTGGCCCATGGCTCTTTTCAGAATTTTTTTTTTTTTTTTTTTGGTACCGGGGATCAAACTTGGGACCTTGCACTTTTGAGGGAGGCGCCAGAACCACTTTTCTGGGAAGGCCCGGCCCCTCTTTTTCAGATTTTAAATGGCATCATCTGAGACTTTGTAGAAGTCAGATCACTGAGCTCTAGGGTGTGCTAATTTTCTGTCCTGTCTTCCCCTCTTGACAATAGCAATTTCACTGTCATGTCTTTTGTCCCTGAGTAGTGCATATCTTCCATGGGAATTTACATGCAGTTTTCATCTCTGCCACTAGACTGTAACCCTCAAGGTGGATGGACTAGTTTTTCTTGAGTGCATGTGCCAGTTCTCCAGAAGTTTAGGAACCCCACCCCACAGGGACCAGAATCAGGGTTGACTTTCATGATGCATCCACTCAGGACTGAGGGGCTCCAGGTTGTCTCTATGGGCAGGCCCCTTGCATGAGATAAGAGCCGCGTCTGGAAAGGGGAAGCAGGTGGCCTGTGGCCAGCCATTGTCTGGGTCTCCCGGCCAGAAGCTGCCTCCCTTCCCCTAGCATTAGCAGCAGGCAGGAAGCTGAAGCATGACCTCACCGGGACTAAGCAGAACAGGCATCCTTCTCCTGCCAGGAAAAGGGAAAACCCAGAGGTTGGCAGGAAATTCCCAAACAGCAGAGGAACTCATGTCTCATGTCTTGGGTGAATTATTGTTTGATTTGGGGGGGGGTGTTTGTTTTGTGGTGCTGGAGGTCAAACCCAGGTCCTTGAGCATGCAAGTGTTTCACCCCCAGCCTTGCATTCAGTTTTAATCTTCTATGGCCTGGTTGTTTTCAGGTTGGCTCCAGAAGCTTCCCCCTGAGTGATCCTCTTATTTTAAAAAAACAAACCAGGAGTTCTAAAGACCATCAGTAGATGGCTCAAGTGCTCAGCTCCCATAGGACATGACCCATCAGCCATGCTGCTGGAATCCTCTTGTGATCAGGTTAAACCTGTGTCAGCTTAGCAAAGACTCAGTGGGCTGTCCCCAGGGACAGGCACACAGAAGTGAATGCACATCCTCCAGCTTCTGGGGCCCCCCAAGGGGTGGAGAGGCAGATGTTGGGGATCAGGATGCATCTTAGAGGTTGTGGGGCCACCAGCAGAAGTGATTTCCTCTGTGAGATCCAGCATAGGCTCTATGGATGCTGAGTCCCCAATGCACAGAGCCCCAGTGTGCGTGTGTGTGTGTCGGGGTCCCATGTCACAGAATCTCAGCCATCCTCCCCACTGCCCTGTTTGGCCACAGCTGGCCTTAGTCTCCCTCTTCCCAAAACTCTTCCCTTGATCTGCCACTCATCCCCCCTCTCTACTCCCTGCATGCCAAAGGTCCCTGACTGGAGACTGGGATTTCTTCCCCTCCTCTGCCTTCAGCCTGCAGTGATTTCCTTGTCCATCCCTTCTCCACCTACATGGCTCTTCAGCTCTGTTCTGTGACTTTCAAAGCCATCAGCCAAGTCTCACTTCTCAGAATTTTCCTCCATGGCCTCAGGGAGGACACCCATGCAGTCGGTCCCCACTTCTCCAACTGCGTCCTGGCCCTCCTGAGTGGGTGAGCTCCTGCTGACCCTCACCATCTTTCACCCTACAGCACCATCTCCTGCCACACCACATTCCCATAGCTCTCCAGGGCTCTGGAACTCAGCAGAACCTGAGAACCCATGGAATTGGACCTATTGCCCTGTCCCAGGCAGATTAGTTAGGGTATCCACCACCACCCCCAGTTGCTCAGAATAGAAACTTCACCTGTGCCTGTTCCTTCTGCCCAAAATCTGATCAGCCTCCCCAATACAGCTCTTCTCTATCTGCTCTGGTCCATCACCATGGCCTTTTGCTCAGCTCAAGCTTTGACCTCTTTCTTCTGGACTGTGGTCATCACCTTCCCACCAGTGTTTAGCCCACCCTCCATACCTGAAGGTGTAAGATACCAGTCCAAGTATATTGTGTCTTTCTTCCAAACAGACCAAATTGGTGGCTCCTGATGGTCACCAAACCTGCTCCACCCCCTGTTCCCATCACCCCTGCCCCAGCTGCCCAGAGGCCCTGGCTTATCTTTTTTACAATACATGGCTTATCTTTGATAACAGGGCCTGGGTTCCCTGCTCCTGAGACTGTTGTACCCAAGCGCCACAGACCATGCAGCTTAAAGAACAGAGATTTATTCTCATGGTTCTGGAGGCTAGAAGTCTGAGATGAAGGTAGCAAGGCAGGTTCCTTCTGGCAGTTCTTGGGCAATACTTGGGATCCTCAGCTTGTAGGCTCATTTCCCACATTTCTGGCTTATTTTCACAGTGCTTTCTTCCCATGTACATATCTGTGTCCAAACTTCCCCCTTTTTCATAAAGACACCAGTTATCAAAGTAGGGGCCCATTCTGTTCCAGGATGACCTCACTAATTTCATCTGCACTGATTCTGTTTCCAAGTACGGTCCCATTCTGAGGTACTGAGGACAAGGGCTCCAACATATGGAGTGGGGACAGTTCAGCTCATAACATGCCATAACCCTTGGGGCTCACCAGCTGGCGTTGGTGACTGTGTTCTCTCCTGTGGCCATGGACCAGGAGTCATCATCAGCTTGGATGTCAGATAGTGCCCAGCCACTCAGGGTCACACATCTTGGTGGCATTCTCTCCTCCCCACCCCTGGAATTGTGATTGGTCCAGGCAGGTGCCAGTGGAAGAGGCATATCTGTCTCCCTTGGGATTTATGTGAATGTCCCATAAGAAGAAAGGGTACCCGGCTCATTGTGACCCCAGCAGGGTGCAAGCCATGATCTCTACCTCTGGCTCTGGTTGGGGAGTGCCAGGTGCCAGCTCCTCCTGGGGAATCACCCAGGCTTCACTTCTCATTCTCATCCCTAGGAATGTCCCGCTGCCACTTGCTGCAGCCCTGACCCGAGAGGCCATTTCCCACCTGCTGCAGGCTGATCTTTCTGAGTTTAGAAAGTTGCCCAGCCAAGAGGAAGAAGGGGACAATGAGGAAGAGGAGAAGGCTCCAGTGACCTGTGAGTTCTCTGCCTAGCAGATGTAGACTAAAAGGGACATTTGTGGGGAGCATGTTGAACAGGGCCCAAAAGGGGTTGGTACCAGGGCACTTCCCCACAAAGAGTGGCAGGAGCAAGTTATTGACATGGTGTGACATGGCAGCACGTAGCCAGGAAGGGTGAGTGTGGCCTTCGGTACCCAGCTTGGGGTCAGCCGGTAGGTCACCCTCCTGTGTCCCATCTCACTGAAGTTTCAGAAGTCACATGAGGAAAACAAGATGCTAACTCACTGTCAGGCAGCCAAATTGAAATGCATTTGCTATGTTCCTTCAACTAACACGAGGTCAGAGTCAGCAGGGTGACACATCAGCCTGTGCATGGGGACAGCATCATGGTCCGTATGGTAGAAAACACTACCTTTTCTACCTTTTCTTGACTCACCAGGTTGGGTCTTATTAGAGAGAGGTGCCTAATCAGCAGTGCCCTTCAGGTTGGTAGGGTGGCAGTGATGAGTGCTTATCTGTCAGCCCACTTTAGGAACAGCTGTCACTGGGGCCAAGGCCCTAAAACAGCATTGCATGATCAGAGGAGCCCAAAAATGGAGCAAGCACCGAGAGGCTTGCAGAGCTATTTGACAATCTGCTCATGAAAATACAGGGCTCCTGTCCAGGACAGTGGCACATACCTGTAATTCTAGCTACTTGGGAGGCTGAGGCAAGAGGATCATGAGTGGAAGGCAAGGCAGAGCAACTTAGCAAGACCCCGTCTCAAAGTAATAAATTCTTTCTCTTTTTTTTTGGTACCCAGGATCGAACTCGGGTTCTTGCGCTTGCAGGGCAGGCAGCAAAACCACTGAGCTAAATCCCTGGCCCTCAAAATAATAAATTTCTAAGAAAGGGGCTGAAGATATAACCCAGTGAGAAGGACTTGAATTCAATTCTCCAGTAGTGCCTCCTCCCCACTAAAGAAAGGAAAAAAGCAGGCATTCATTCATTAATTCATTCATTTATTGGTACTGGGGATCAAACTCAGGACCTTGCACTTGCCAGGCATGCATGGCAAGTGGGCTCTTATTTAACTGCATGATTTTCTTTCTCTTTTCTAATAATTGTTTTTTATTGTATTTCACCAAAATGTTGGTTCATGTTGAACCCAAAGTACAGGGAGGGAAAGTAACAGGCCAGGGGAAAATCCTACAAGGGATCTGTGCGGCCTGTTTTCCAGCTGGAAGTTTGCCTCTGCACAGCCATCCGGGTGGCAGGAAGTGGATTTCCTTTCCTTTGCCATTTCCTTTCTGACTGTGTACTTTAAACTCAGCAGTAGTGCAAACATGTAAGGAAAAGCAAGGAGTGAGGGGGAATAAAAAGAAAAAAATACATGAACCTTCTAGCATCAGTGGCTGCCAGGCTGCTCTCCTCTCTTTCTGGTCTCCTCTCTGGTTTCTTGCCCACCTTCCATCTGTGCACAACCTTGTCTTCCCGTCTGGAAGACATTTGTCCTCAGTAACAGGGAGCCATTGTTCTCTGCAAAGCCAGCAGGCTTCCAGCCAGCGGCAGCTGCCACTAGCAGCCCCACTAAAGGAGTACACCCTCCACCCCAACCCTGCCCCAATTTATTTCTCTGCCTGGCCAAGCAGGAGACAGCGCCAGCTGCTGGTTGGAAGAAGAACTGCAGCTTGCTGAGCCCTACATCCTGGGCCTGTGAAGGAGGGAGGGGGCACAGCCAGAAGGCACAACCTGCCCTGGCTTCCCTGCCTGTCCCAGAGCAGGGTGGTGCAAGTCTAGGCTAGTGGCCTGGATCATTCATGGCACCAGAACATAGCAAACTCTGTCATCTCCCAAGCCATCCTTGCAAAATCACATCAAGGCAGGCAGGCTTTGTGAGACTCACCACTGCCAAAGGGCAGAGATACAACAAAAACTTCTCTGTGCCTACCAGCCTCCCCCTCCCTGTTGATTGTTAGGAGAACAAAACGTGTGGAGCAGTCACTAAGGGCATGGGGACTGTGGCCCTCCAAGGCATCAGGATCCTGATGGGCATACCTACCATGGCTTATGGTCCCCATTTGTAATTGTCCTTAGCTTGAGCAAGATTCAGGTTCAAACACGAGGATGGAAATAGTAATAGGACCTAAGGCAAAAGAGGGAAAGACAGCCCAGGCCTAGTGAGGGCTTCAGGCCTGATAAGCACCAGCAGTTTCTAGGAGAGAAAAGGAGCCAGAGCAGCTTTCCAGGCAGTTATCTGAGCACAGCCTCCAACGGAGAAGGGAGAGGAGGGCAGGAGGCAGCACATGAGGCCTGGCAGAAGAGACTTCCACAGGGTGGGGAGTGGCCATCCCTGAGCTGGGCTCTCCTGTGCTTGGCCCCAGCTTCTCTACCCTCAGACCCTTAGCCTGGTTCTGCCAGTCCTGCAGTTGTTCCCAAAGGATTGAATGGGATTGAATGGGCCTCTGTCCTCATTGTGCTGGCAGCAGCCAACTGTGGACACGCCCCCCCAGCCCTTGCCTGGATGCAGGGTCCCCTGGACCCACCCTTCCACAGCCTCCTGTGCTCACAAGCTCCTGGTTCTTCCTCTGTAGCACCCTCTGGCCTCTGCTTTTCTCCTATTCTGCCAGGAGCACTTTCTTTTCCCAATTCCCCACGACCTTTGGGTATGGTCTGCAGCTCAGGGACTCTACCCTGTTTTCAATACTTGACCTGGAACTCCTCTCTTAAGCATGGGCTCTGACTCCCTTGAATCTGCCACATGTACTTGGACTAGCTTCGCTAGAATTTTTTTTTCTTTTAAAATGAGGGTTTTAGGGTATATTTATTGCTACATAATAAATAGTGCCCCAGATTTAGTGGCTTTAAAACAGCAGGCATTTATCTTCGCACAGTTTCCATGGGTCTGGAATTTGGGAGCAGCTTAGGTAGGAGGTTCTGCCCAGGGTTTCATGAGGTTGTAAAGTGGGGGTGGAGGGAGGCAGTTTGTCCCTTTCAGAATGGTTTGGTCAGAAAGAGAGCAAGTGTGCAGGCCTCCTAAGACACTGTCTGAAGCCAGGTGGTCACTTGCACTTTCTTCCATCCATCCAAAGCAGCTCACTAAGTTCTCCGTTTGGGCAGGAACTGGCTCTGCCTCCTGGAAGAAGTATCAGAGAGCTCATGGACTAATTTTAAAGCCATCACATTTGGGCAAACATTTTTAATGGAAAATTGGGGAAGTATTAAAAAGTATATATAAGGGGAAAAAATCACCCCTAGAATCAGCCCAGAACACCCACCGCTGATGTCTTGGTCATAGTGCTGTTTCTGCCCCCTTTTTTATGGATCCAAGTAGTTTTTCCATGTACTTGTGGATTAGATTCTATATACAATTTTCTAATCTTTTTCTCACTTGAAATCAGGACATAAACTCTGTAAAAATCCATTTTCTGTTTTACCCTTTAGGGTTTTGTTAACTTTTTGTTTTAAAATAATTATAGCTGCCCATCTAATTGTAAGAAACAATGCTGTGAAATTCTATGTATGATTCACCTAGTTTCATGGAGGGGTAACATCTTGCACAACTATAATAAAATATCACAAACTCAATCTTAACATACTCACCACAAGCGTTCTTCATTACCCTCTAATGGACTCTCTCACACCCTACCCCGCATACCAGGATCCCTAACTACTGGCAATTACTAATCTTCTGCATTTCTAGAATTTTGGCATTTCAAGAATGCAAATAAATAGGTCACCCAATATATAACTTTGGGGGATTGGCTTTTTTCACTCAGCATAACTCTGGAGATTAATCCAGGTTGTTGCATGTATCAAAAATTCATTCATACGTACATTGAAGAACATCTGGGCTGATTCCAGATTTTAGCCATCTCAGAGAAAGCTACCACGAACATTCTTATGCAAGTTATTGTGTGTAAAGTCCTCATTTTTCTGGGATAAGTGCCCCGGAGTGCAATTATGGGTCATATGGTAGTTGTGAAAGTCTTTTTTTTTTGTATCGGGGATTAAACTTGGGACCTTGCGCTTGCAAGGCAGGCGGCGGCAGCACTGAGCTAAATCCCTGGCCTGTGAAAGTCATTTTTAATTGCAGCTTGATTCTTCCCAAGAGAATAGACAAGAGTTTACTCACCATTCCTCTGTCACTGGATATGTATTGTTTCTAATTAATGGGCACAAGGGCCAGGGATTTAGCTCAGTGGTTCTGCCACCTGCCCCACAAGCATAAGGACCCGAGTTTGATCCCCGGTACCAAAAAAAAAAAAGGTCTAATTAATGGCCAGTTGTAAAGGATTCTCTACTTGTCTGTAAATAATTTTTTCATTTCCTTATGGTGAGTTCCTGTGAGTGTTTTTACCCCAGCATGGAGTGGGAGACTTCTTAGTACTTATTGTCAAACCAGACATTTCTAATTGCCCACAAAAGGCTGTCATGCATAGTTATAGGTTGATGTGCTCAGTGTGCCCTGGGAGGTGATGGGTTGGTGAGGCCCATGCAGGCTGGTGGGCCAGGGGGGCTGTCTGGAAAACCAAATGGGACCAGAGGAGAAGGGCACAGGGGAGCTAGAGACACCTCAACCAGTGTGGTTTGTGCTGCTCTAACAATTCCTATGTCATGCTCTCAGTGCTAGATGCCAAAGAACTGGCTCGGAGTTTCTTTAACCAGCTCTGGGAAGTAAGTGGCCAGTGGCAGAAGCAGGTGCCGGTTACTGCCCGGACCCCACAGAGGGAGTGGGTGGTCTCTATCCATGCCATCCGGAACACTCGCCGCAGAATGGAGGACCGGCACGTGTTTCTTCCTGCCTTCAACCTGCTCTTCGGCTTATCTGTGAGTATTCTACTGACAGGGTCCCCGGGCAGTGGTGTCCTGTGCCAGGAAAGCATTGAGGGCTGGAGCGGGAGGTTGGGCCCTGGGGGCTAAGAAGAGCTGCCAGCCAGAGCCAACCCAGGAGAGACTTGGCAGCTGCTGTCACAGGCTCACGTGCTTGGCAGCTCCCAAAGCACTCTCCAAGGGCATCTGAGAGGCCTAATTCCTTGTACCAGCACCTTTCGGCCAGAATGCCAGGTACCTTACTTTCCCCTGGAAGGACTCAGGAAAGGCAACGGTTGGTATATGTCTGTAAGGGGGCAGACCCCAGTGCCAAGGCCACCTCAGACATGCTGCTGAGTCCTGCCAGCTACAGCACCAGGAGCCACCTGGTCCATCTTGCTTCATTTTATGCTGTGAGCAGCCCAGTGCAGATGGTGAAACTGAAGCGCCAAGGGTTTTCCTCATCCAAATCTCTAGCTCCTAAGTGCTTGAGCCATGTTGGCCCATCTGATGGCAAGGGCCATGCCAGTTCTTCCAAACCCTGCCTGTTTTGGTCTGTTTTCTGTTGCTGTAACAGAATACCTGAGACTGAGTAACTTGTGAAGAAAAATGTATTTCTTACAGTTCTGGAGACTGGGAGATCCCAGATCAAGGAGCTGCATCTGGTGAGGGTCTTCTTGCTGGAGGGGACACTGCAGAGTCTGGAGCCAGTGTAGAGTATCACATGGAAAAACAGAGTGTATTTGCCAAAGAGCTCACTTTTATAACAGCCATTCCCTCAGCAACCTGTTAATCCATTAATCCATCAGTGAATCTTTTAATTTTCAAAGGGCCTTCCACCAAATACCATTAACATAAGAATTTTAGGATTAAGTTTCCAACACATGAATTCTCAGGGACAAACATTGAAACTGTAGTGAAACCCTAGTCAGTGCCTAGGCCACACTTGCCCTCCAGATGAGAGCAGCTAGCAGGAGTCCCAGCCGCAGATGCAAGGCCAGCAGAGCTGTGACCCCCTCTGTGTTCCCCCTCAGGACCCTGTGGACCGTGCCTACTTCGCTGTGTTTGACGGTCATGGAGGCGTGGATGCTGCAACATATGCTGCTGTCCATGTACATGTCAATGCCGCCCGCCACCCAAAGCTGCGTACAGACCCCACAGGAGCCCTCAAAGAAGCCTTCCGGCACACTGATGAAATGTTTCTCTTGAAAGCCAGGCGAGAGGTGAGAACCAATAGCCAGGTCTCAAGGGCAACCAATAGCCACTAGGATCAGAGTCCCTGCCTCTACTGAGGGAAAGGTACCAAAGTGCTTGGTGGCATGGGAAGGTCCTCATTGAGCATGACTGGTCATCATGCCATTTACTCTTAAGAAGTAGAGCTCATTTATCATTTGAATAGAAGCAGTATGAAGCTTACCCCTTACATTATTCAGTTTTCATGACTATAATGAAATAACTGGGGCTAGATAACTTCATAAAGACAAGAAGTTTATTTTGGCTTATGATTCTGTAGGTTGAAGGTCAGAGGGCTTCATCTGGTAATGGTCTTGCTGGTAGAGCCCCAAAGTTGCTCAAAATATCACACCACAAGAAACTAGGAGTACACATGTTTATGCGTGTATCTTCTGTCCTCCCTTCCTCTCCTTATAAAGCCATTAGAATTCACCCATGGGGGCTCCACCCTAATAATTTTATCCAATCCTAGTTACCTCCCAAAGGCTTCACCTCTAGACATTATAGTTGGATTAAGTTTCTACCTGCTTAATACCTCACAGTAGACATTAAATTTTAATACATGAAGCCTTGGGGGACACTCACCCCTTCTCCAAACCATAGCACCCTGACCCAGAATACTGGGCCTCCACAGGGAATAGGCATCTTGTTTTGAAATGCACCCAGGGGTCAGGGGAGCTGAGGAAACATGCCCTCTGGGGAAGATGTGGTGAGGCCAGGCAGGCAACCTGCAGCAAGCTCAGGATTGGGTAGTTTGGATAACCTTAGTTGCTTCTGAACCACAAGGGTGGCCCCTAGCTATCCTAGTGCCAGGCCCTGAAGCCACCAAAGACAGGGGAAGCTCTGGGCTCCAGACCAGCTGGCTTTCCCATGAAAGGTAACACTCAGGCTGGCACTAATTCTCTAGGAATTAGGCCCCCGATCTAGTTTCACCAGGCCCCAAGATGTCATTGCATCATAACATATAGAAAATGCAGAGCGCTATTAATATACTGTCCCATCTCTCCTTGCTCTTCTGGGCAGGGTCTTGGCAGGATGCTGGTGTCTTTCCTCAGGAGTTACAGCCACGAGTAGGAGTGAGGCACATGTTTCTGAAAGGAGAAGGAACTCAGCAGGCCTCTCCTCTGTGGACATACCCCCACTTAACCTTCACCACAGGCCTGGGAGGAGCCTTCTAATATTCTACCCATTTCAGACCTTGGGAAACTGAGGCTCAGATTGTCTCAGAGACCTGTCTCACTGAGGAGACAGTGAGGAGAGGCACCTGTCATCACATGCTCTGACCACAGAGCTAAGTGGAATCCAGCAGTCTTTGCATTTCAACAGAAAGCCATAGAGATCTAAAACCACCAGAGGGAGCTTAGTAGAAAACTTACACTGTCTCCCCAGCTGGTGAATCAGGCCTCTCAGCTGAAAGCTGCTCCTGGAGTAGAGAGAGACGTCTCTACAACAGTTTAGATTAGTTTTTGGTCATTTGGTTGTGCTGGAGACAGAACCTAGGGCCTCGCACATGCTAGGCAAGTGCTGTACCACTGTGCTGCATCTCTAGCCCCTATTATTTTCTGTAAACAACTCTGACATATAACTGACACATAAGTTGCACATATGTCAAGTATGTGATTGGATAAGTTTTGGTTTATGTGTTCACTCATAAAACCCTTTGCTCCAATAATGGGCATCTTCATCTCACCTGAAAGCAGCTTCCCTCCCTGTGTTATCCCTGTCCTCTCCTGCTCTTCCACGCACCCACTCCCCCAACTCACGCATCTGCTTCCTGCCACTACAAAGCCTGCATATTCCAGAGTTTGGTATAAGTAGGGTTCTGTTGGACTCTTTCCCCTTCCACGTGGCATAATCACTACACAATCCATCCATGGCACATAGGGCTCTGGAGTCAGTTCTCTTGTGTTCTGAGTTCAAGTTCAGTCTGTCTGGCACATGCCTCTCATGTGGCCACCAGGTCACACACACCTTGCCCCACGTGGGCCTCTTTCCTTGCAGCGGCTGCAGAGTGGCACCACAGGTGTGTGCGTGCTTGTTGCAGGAACAACCCTGCACATCGCCTGGCTCGGGGACTCCCAGGTCATCCTGGTGCAGCAGGGAGAGGTGGTGAAACTGATGGAGCCACACAGACCTGAGCGATGGGTAAGGGCTCCCTCTGTCCAAACAGAGGACACTCCCAGGCTACTGTTGTACTGGGCTCATGCAAGACTGGGGACCTCACAAGGCAGCAGAATGTCAGCAGGTCCCAGCTGGATATTATTGAGGAGGATTCAGAAGTGCAAGGGCCCTGGAAGCTTCTGGTGCTCCTGCTGAGGAGGGCACCTGTGCACAACTTGGGTGGCCAGGGAGTTCCAGGTGAGCCCTTCCTGAGAGTTCTCTGGGTCACAATGACATGGAGCCCAGAGCTCCAGGCAAGAGCTGGCCCTTTTCCCAAGAAACAGTGCAGCCCAGAGTTCTGTGATATCCACAGGCATGGAGCAGCCTACCAGGGGCTGAGAGCAATGAGGTGGTGGTGCACTGGGGCTGGAACAAACCAGGCTTGGGCCACAGTAGGCAGAGACTATGCTGAGACTTCTTGGACTCGGATCACTCACCTGTCTGAGCCTTAGGCCCCTAACTTGGACATGAGGAAGACATTCCTGCTCAGACCGTATCTCACAAATGTGTCTAGTCTGTCTCTTGAGGGCAGAGAGGGCGTGTTTGTGTATCAAACCACCCCAAGCCCATGTTTGTGTATCAACCCACCCCCTTGCTTTCTCCACATGCCATGCTCTGCACTGGCTTTTCTCAGCTAACTGTGCACCTGGCAGACTATTCTGCATCTGTATGTGAAGGGCTGTCATCCTTGGAGATGCTTGGCATTCCGTTTATCATCCAGTCTCTTGTGGAGGAACACCAAAGTCTTAAGTCTTTCTGTGCTGAAAACATCACAACAGTACATAACTTTGTATACTGCATCACCCAGGGTCAAGTATATCTGTAGAAAAGATTCCTAGAGGTAGGATTGCAGGGTCAGAGTAGACACACAGTCTTGCTAGATTTGCCCAGCAGACCTCTCTGGGCTGGGCCACTGTGTGTTCAAGCAGGGTGTGTGCCTGAGAGGGTCAGTCTCACTGTATTCTCACCAACCTGCGGGATTTCGCCCACCAGAGGGAAAAAGGATATCTCAGCAGTTGTTTAATTTGCTCCAACGGAGCAAGTTTAAACATATTTTCAAAAATTTAAGGTAGGCATGGTGGTGTATACCTTTAATCCCACCATTCTGGGAGACTGAGGTAGGAAGGTCACAAGTTCAAGCCCAACCCGAGTGACTCAATGAGACCCTGTATCCCCCCAAAAAAAGGTGGGGATGTGGCTTAGTGCAAAGACCCTGAGTTCAATCCTCAAGATCACCAAAAGGAAGTTTTAAGATACTTTTTATTGCCTTGCCTTTCCTTTGAACAGTTTGTTCCCATCCCGTGTGTTTTTCCTTAACAATTTATCGGGACTGTACACGTTAAGGAGGTAAACTCCTTTCCTGGTGTTTGCAGGGCTTTTTCCCACATCTGTTGTTTTGGGCTTTCTGCAATGGTGTTGAGCCATCTTTCCTTTTGTGGCTTTTAGACTGGGAAAGCAGGACAGACTGTCGGGCATTGATCATAGTCAGGAATGACAGCGCTCCTTGGCCTCCCACCGCAGCTCATGGTCTGTGCCACACATGTGCTCTCCCCATTGGACAAAGGGGAGATCTGAGGCTAAGAGAGCTCCAGTCACTTGCCCATTGCTCCAAGCACACACTAAGTAGCAGACAGTCTGCTGCTCCACTACCACCCCACTACAGGGGAGTTTGGCACCTGCTCCCTGTTGATCCTCTCCCGTAGCAGGTAAAACTTAGCCAGGTTTGGATTGATGCGAACCTCTGCTAGGGTGTCACTCCCACTCACTGCCTGCACCTGTGCAGCCTCAGAGGCCAGCATCTTTCTGAAGCCCAGTAGAGACCTTTTCCACCCTGCAGTGTGGTGTCATGGAAGAGCAGGGACAGATAGCCTTGCTTGGTCCTGGCTCCCCGCCTTCTAAGCCTGAGGCTCCTTGTCTATCAAACAGGATTCTTCGCGGGTGTGGGGTGAGGATTGAGTGACGTGGTACACGTGAGTGCCAAGATCAGTGCCTGCACAGGAGAAGCACACTAGTGTTAAGTGTCTGTTGATCCACAGCTGGGGGCAGAGACTAGATCCCAGCTCCCTCCTGCCAGCTGCTGCCTGTGATCCTCATTGTAGCCCACCACCTGCCTGGGAAATAATCAGAGATCTGGGCAAAGGTTCTCCACAAAAGTGAGTTTCACCACGTCAGTTACAAAGACAGGAAACTAGGAGCTTCAGTCTAGGCCCAGCAGCCAATGAAAGTGGCCCTGAGGATTGCGTGAGGACCTGTGTTGCTGTCTTAACCTGCAGCTGTCTGCACAGAGCTGCTTCTGCTGCTAGAGTCCAGATCAGCCGCCATTTAGAGCCTACTCCTTTTTTTTTTTTTTTTTTGAGACGAGGTCTCACTGTGTAGTTCAGGCTGGTCTTGAACTCACTGTGTAGCCCAGGCTGGCCTCAAACTGGTGCCAATCCTTCTGCCTGAGCATCCTGAGTGCTGGATTTACAGGTGTGCACCACCATGCCTGGCTAGAGCCTACTCTTTACAGGATACTTTGCTAAGGCAATGGGGTGACAAAATAGGACCCCCACCCACCTCCCAGTAGCTGTGTCTAATGGAGAACAGGTGTGACAGGTGAGGATGAGGACACAACCGAGTGCTGGGAGCATTGACAGAAAGAGAGGAATGAGAGTGGGGCCTAGAGTGGAATCTTAAAGGCAGTTGTGACTTCTGCGGGCCAGAGGCAGCATCCAGCCAGAGCAGGTGACACCAGAGCCACTGACCTGCTGCTCCTTCAGTAGGGCTGTCCCAAGCCAGGAAGAATTCCACAGGGAATCACTAGAAGTTTCCATAATGTGCAGACCACAGGAGGGCAGGTTGGTGGCTGGGTCAGAAAAGTGAGACCAGGAGAGCTGTGAGTGTTGTCTGCAGTTACAGGTCATGGCAGGCAAGTGACAGCAAGGACCTGTGGGAGGGGGGAGCCTGGGCTTGGGGATGGAAACACGGAGAGGGCACACGGCATCCAAGAGGGTGGCAGTGTTATGGGCAGAGCCCCGATCCCCAAGGAAAGGAGGAACATGGCTGTTACTGAGAACCGCTGGGCCACTCAGGGAGTGACCTGGGAGAGGCTGCTACAGGAGGTGTGGAGGGTGAGGCCGGAGGAGCAGAGAAGAGCTGCTGATGGGCTGGGTGTCCCAGGAGACGGGAAGCAAAGACAGGGACACTTTGGGCCCACAAACACTGTCATCTTGGAGTAAGAGAAGCTAGGCCAGCATGTGGACAGGGTGAGGCTGCTGTGCCTAGTGGAGCTGGAGGTGGGAGCCGTGGTGGGGTGGGGCAGTGTGCAGCCCGGGATACAGGCCTGAGCTAGGCAAGGCAGAGCTGCTTTAGGGGCATGGGCAGCCTGTGCACACAGGGCTGTCTTGGCACAGGGAACCCTAATAGGGGTTTCTACATAGCTGTCAGGGTGGAGCTCACAGGCTCACTGTGGCCCAGGTGCCTCCCATCCTCTAGCTCAGTCCTGTCCCCACAGTATTCCCTCAAGGAACAGAGGATGGAGAGAGTGCTCAGGAAGGATTTTGAGGCTTTTGCTATATTTTATTTTTGTTTGTTTTTGAGGCAGACTTTTTTTTTTTGTACCAGAGATCAAACTCAGGACCTTGTGCTGCAAGGCAGGCGTGGGCACCACTGAGCTAAATCCCCAGCCCAAGGCAGGATCTTTTTATGTTGCTCAGTCTGGCCTCAAACACACAATCCTCCTGTCTCAGCCTCCTGAGTGCTGGGATTATAGGTGTGCGCCACTTTGGCTGGCTGGTTCCACAGCTTCGAAGGCCAAGTGCCTTGCTTTTAGGGCTTCCCTGGAGAGACCTTGCTCACAAGGGGAGATGTGGTGTGTGAATCAGTTCCCTTGGCACCACTTACTCCCCAAGATTGTAGGTGGACAGGTGTGGGCTGTGCACCCCTACCTCACAGGGACCCATGAGAGTAGCTTGTCCTTCATCCTCAGTCACCTGTGGTCACCTCCACTCACTGTCCCCACATCACAGGCATTGAGGATTGGGAGTAAATTGGGGGATGTGGAAGACAAAAGCAGAGAAAGGCTGACAGTTCTCAACTCTATTTTTCTGGAGGCAGAGGCTGGGTTGGGCACACTTCCCTTCTCAGGAAAGCCTGGGAGGGACCATCTGCAGTTCCTTGCTGGTCTCTGGGCCTCTTTGTGCATGTTCGAGTGTGTGAACCACCCACCTGCCCTCCCCTCCCTTCACCCTCCTCCCTTCCCCCTTCTGGCCCTCCCTGTCTTTTCCCTGCTCAGACCACAGTGGGAAGGAGGTGTCAGATCTGAGGGAGCCTTTGAGGTCCCCTAATCCTGCCCACTGCACTAGGACAGGTGACTGCTTCTAGTGGCAAGGCTGTCCAGCCTGCCAGGCCCCCATCACTGTGCAGGCCCATGGTAGTTATCAGGGATCAGGACACCTGTCATTCCCACTGTGACACTCTGTAGGGGAACCACACACGGAGGTCTAGTCCTTGGTGCCTTCGCTGTCTGCTGAGCCTTTCCTTCTGAAATGGGTCTGTATCTGAATGGGGCAGACTGTCCCCTAGGGAACTAGGTTTCTCATGCCTACCTGGTGCTGTGCTCCAGGCATGCACTGAGCATGCAGTAAGGTCAGAAGGATTATCCACCAAATAAAGTAGAGATAAAGGACAGCTTCCCTCCTCCAGTAGAGATGCCTGGCTCCCAGGGGGCACCCAGCTGTTATCACCAGCCATCAGGTGACAGGCTCACATCTGGGAATCTCTTCATTTGCAGGAATCAGATCCAAAGAGGTTTTTTTTGAGAGACTTGTAGCTAGGTCAAGCCTTTGTCCTGTCCTCCAGAAGGAAGTTGGGCTGGTCCCTGTGGTGAGCAGAGACAGTGCCCGGTGGGGAGCTTGGGTCAGGGAGGACAAGGACCAAGTGGGCACCAGACTGCTGGTCAAGGCTTCGCTCAGGTTTTATGAACCTTTCTGTGTGGCCACACATACATACCAGTGCTTCACCTTGTCCTGGCAGCTTTCAAGGTAGGAACATTATCCCCCAGTTAAAGATAAGGAAGCTGAGGTATCCACCATCCAAATCCAAGGCTAGTGTCTTTCTGCTGCCTCGTGAGCACCTCTCTGACCCCAGAACATTGTTCAGGGCTGCAGCTATGGCTCATTGGCCTCAGGTGGGCGATTTATGTTCATAGCGTCTCTTGCTAGCCATTCCTGCAGCTGAAGGACATTTAGATTTGCAGTTGTAACCATTTGTAATGATGCCTAATTCGGGTACATCCTATCTTGGTTCAAACACTGTGGCTTCGAACATATCTTCGAAACTAGCTCCATCTCTTTGGTTGGGCTGCAGTGTGGGGGCTTCTGGGCCGATGGACTCACCCAAGCCCTGGACACTGGCTGTCTCCCTGCAGGACGAGAAGGCGCGCATCGAAGCATTGGGTGGCATTGTATATTTCATGGATTGCTGGAGAGTCAATGGGACCCTGGCCGTCTCTAGAGCCATTGGTAAGCAGAGGCTGTTATGGGGTAAGGCAAGGCCGCAGGAAGCCCGGACCTCAAACCGTGGCCAGGGGTTCACCTGGTGGTTTAGGACGCAGTGTTGTGTGCCTAAAAGGATTTGCAGTATACACAAGCTTCCAGCTTGTAGGGGTATTACTTCCACATGAATCCCTGGTAAGTTGAAAACATCTTTAAGGCACCTGACCTAGCAGACATCCTAGCTTAGCTACACAGTCTGCTGTGGAGAATCAGTGTTTTGCCCTTGTGGTCATGGGGCTGACTGGGAGCAGCAGTTCACTGCTGCAGCCCAGTTTCGAGAGAGGGTCTAAGACCATTTACCACTAATCCAGAAAGGATCAAAATTAAAACGCAGTTTCTGCTGAATGTGTACCACTTTCACACCATTGTAAAGTTAAAAAAAAAATGTAAGTCACACCATCATAAACGGGGGTGCCTATCTGTGCTAGGATTATGTCATCAATCAGCTTGTGACAGGAATAGGGCAGATTTAGGGATCATAATTGTAAATATGCAAGAAACCTTCATCTCCCACCAATAATTGCAGTTTAAATTATATATTATTAATGCTTCATTAAAACAGATCCTCCCGGGCCGGGGATTTAGCTCAGTGGTTTTGCCGCCTGCTGCACAAGCACAAGGACCCGAGTTCAATCCCCACTACCAAAAAGAAAAAAAACCAGGTCCTCCCAAAATCTAGTAGGAAATCCTTGAGCTAGCTACTATATCAGCTGGGAGAAAAGTTGTAAATATTTCATAAATGAGGTTACTGTCCCCATTTATTTTAATGATTTTTTCATCTTTGGGGGAAATAGCAGTTCCCTTGCCCCATCCCCCATCCCATTTTCTCAGTATCCTGTCACCGCTGGGCCTTAGCCCAGAGACTATATCTGCCCCTTCCAAGTACAGTACTCAAAAATCACTCCTTCCCAGCTCACCCCGGAGATTTGGCCCATCTTCCTCTCACCCTCCTGAAGTGTCCTGTCATTGGCAAATGCAGTTCCTTCCTTACAGCCCATCTTATGCTGCTGCCTTTGTATCTCTGGACACCAGGAAGGACAGGCTCACAGACCATGGCTGGGGGGGTTCACTCTAAGGAGGGTGGGAAGCGTTGGGCAGGTTTCCATCATGGCCAGTGTCTATCCCCACAGGCCAAGGGGTGGTGGGCTAGTGAACAGGAGTAGACAGTGATGGCCTCTGATATAGGCTGTCCCCTTCTGTGCCCAGGGGATGTCTTCCAGAAGCCCTATGTGTCCGGAGAGGCAGATGTGGCCTCCTGGGAGCTGACAGGCTCTGAGGACTACCTGCTGCTCGCCTGTGACGGCTTTTTCGATGTCATCACCTTCCCAGAAATCACCAGCCTCGTCCACAGTCACCTGGTCAAACAGCAGGGCAACGGGCTCCATGTTGCTGAGGAGCTGGTGGCTGAGGCTCGGGAGCGAGGCTCCCAAGACAACATCACAGTTATGGTGGTTTTCCTCAGGGACCCCCGAGAGCTGCTGGAGGATGGGGTCCAGGGGGCAGGGGACTCCCAGGCAGGTGTGAGAAGCCAGGACTTGTCCTCTGGCCTCTCAAAGCCTAAGACCAGCACTCCACAGAGAAGCTAGGTAGTCCAGGTCCCCCATCACCCCCCGACCCTTCCCCCCACCCGTGTGAGTCCCCTCAGAGGCCTTAGGACCTGACAGGCAGTAATGGGCAGGGTTTGCCCACCCACACAGTGCTTGCCCCAGCACCCCAAGACCATTGGTGGTGTGTGCTACAGCCTGTCCTGGTGACTGTGGAACTGCTCCAGGCAGGGCTCGGAAGCAGGCATAGGGAATAGACCTTACCAAAGTGAAGATGGCCCAGCAAGTGGCCTGGCTGTTGCTCCTACCTCCCTTTGAGGCAAGGGTGGGCCCAGAAGTCAAAAGCACCTGGTAGCAGCTTGACCAAAGACAGGATGTGCATGTGGAGACTGGGTTACATGTGTAGGGGACCCCCCAGCAGACCTAAGAGCTCCAGACAACTTCGGGCACATCCTTGGGTCAGGTCGAGCAGGCAGGATATCCAGCTCAGGTTTCTCCTGGCTTCTCACCATGGCCTCGGCTGTGGCCATGGTGGGAGGAAGGATCAAGTTGATGGATAGGCCTGGCGAGTCCTGGTTGGCCACGTTGGCTTCCCAAAGAAGAGAGAGCAACCTTGCTGGAAAGAGAGGGAGGCCAGGCGTCTGGTCCATAGCTGCCAGCAGCCACCTGTGTGTGATGTGCTAGGGCCCCCAAGGCCCTCTTCCTGCCTTCCTTGTGCACCATGGGAAGGTGAAGCTCAGCACTTACTAACACAAGACGTGTAGGTCATTTGTGTGTTCAGGTTTTATTCCAGGAAAAGTCTAATTCAGAAGCAGTATTTCAGATTTTATCTTCGTTTTGTCAGTGCCAAGATGACCCACAGTGTCATATAATTTAAGCAAAGCTTAGTGTTTATTTTATTTCTTGGAAAACTTAAGTATTTACTTTTTGAGAGTTTTTTTTAACTATTTTGGAAACAGTATTACTGTTTCCAAATACTGTTCAGCAGTGTTACTGAATCTTTTTTTTTTTTTTTTTTTTGTAAATCAGGATTGAAACAAACTTTTCTAGGTGGTATTAATATAAGTCACTTAAGTGCCTTAAACGGCTATGGGGAGATTAGACCTGCTGGTCTGCCATGGATTCTGACAGGCCTGTTGAAGTTCTTACAGAAGCTGCATTTGTTTTGCCTGGAAGGCGTGATTTTGGCTAGAAATCTTCCTGGAGTTCTTTTCCTCCTTTATGTTGCCAGGCACCCCACAGAGCCTCCCTGGGGTGATTGGCAGGAGCCCAGACCACAGGGTAGCCATTTGCTTCCTTAACTGCCTGGCCCCTGCCATGCTGGTCTCTGGTTGGATCCCAGACAGAGTGACCTTACTGCTAATTGGGTAGAATGTTCCAGAATGTCTTTGTATATTTGTGATTACACTGGTTTCTTAGGGGAAAATGCTTAATTAAGAGGCTCTGGCAAGCCCAGAGGCAGGCCGGTGTCTTGGCTTTGTCTGGAGGCAGGAGATGGGATAATTCTGGCAACCTGACAGCACCGGCCACAGCCTCCCAACCCCCTACTCCCAAGCTGGTGTCCTTTGCTGGGCTTTGTCCTGTAGCTGCAAGAAGGAAGGGCTCCATGTCCCCTAGAATACTGGGAAGGTAAGGCTCAGACGTGGTGATACTCAGGTGTCTCAAGGAGCTCACATAGTATATGCAGAGTTGAAAGTGGCAGGACTGGGGAGGAAGCCAGGCAGAGGCAGGAACATGAGGCAGGGAAGAAGGGCCCTGGAGGCCCATGGAGAACAGCCTCAGAGGAAAGGGCTGAGCAGCAGTGGGACTGCTCCCACAGAGGTCTGAGGGGCAGTGGTGGCTTAACTAAGGCTTGTGACAGCGACAGAGGAAGCTTGGCCATGAGATCCCTGCAGAAGTGATCAGAGCCCACCTGCATGCAGTAGGGTACCAGAAAGCTCTGGAGAGTTGGATTCAAGGCACCTTGCCCTTCTCCCAGCTCACAGAAGGGACAGATGCGCAAAAGCCCCCAGCCAAGTCTACATCCACAGAAAGGGCAGAGCCAGCTCTGGTGGGGCAAGCTGCCTGCATCCTCAGCTTCTCCCCTCATTCCCACAGTGGGGCTTCAGGAGGTGAAACCATGCCACCAAGGCCTTCCTTGCTCAGTCTCCTGATAGTCGGCATCTTAAACATTGTCATTCAGAGAATGGTTGGCCACCAACAACGACTGGCCATTGCTTAACTTGAAAGCTCTGCTGCTTTTAGAGGGCCAGAAGCCAGGGCCCCTTATGTGCTCTCAGCAGAGGGCTGGGCAAGATGCAGGGATGTGGCTCCACCCTTCACTACCAGCCCATCCTACTCACGGCAGTGACCTTGACTGAGAGAGGGTTTTCTTGTTTTTCTTTGCTAATTCTTATTCTGTTCATTGCTGCCAAGAGAGGAGTTGTACCCCAGCGACATTTGGATCATACCCTTTTCTAGTCTGCTTTATTCCCTGGCCCAAGGCTCTGCCAGATCTCCTCTCCGGCTTGGCACAGAGGGAAGCCCCTTCCCCAGGCTTGTCTGAACACCTACCCTCACTCCTGAGTGGGCCTGCTGTCCCATGGGGACAGCCAAGGCCCTGCAGGCAGAGACGTGGGCTGCCACTGATGGGGTGCAGTCAGGGACTGGCCTTGCACTAGCTTCTGGGCACAGAGAAGGACCTTTCTTGACTGGGGCTGGACCCAGAGCCTCTGGGCGTCTTCAGCTTCCCAAACTTCTGGGCCACCCCTTGAGGCCATAGCCCCAAGAGGGTCCCTGGCCAGGGACACTATTCTGAAAATCTGAATTCCATTTCAAGGACCAGCTTTGCCACCAGTTCAGTGTATAAGCTGAGCAAGTCATTGTACCTTTCTGGGCCTCAGTTTCCCTTTTTTAAGGCACAGGGGTTGCATAATGTCTACTGTGTCTCTAGCCGGGAATTCTGGAAATGTAGGGGCTACTCGAGGTGAGCCTGGCATGTCCTGGGGAGATACTGCCAGCTCTGAGGGCCCCTCCTCTCTTGCCAGCGGGGAGGGGTGATTAAGTATTATTAGTGTCTATTCTTAAAATTAAGTGGGTTGGAAAAGAATCAACTTACAGATGCCAGCGCCTTATATGGAATACAAACGCTGGAGAAATCAAACCCTGCTTTTACAGGTGCTGCTGATTCCCAGCTGAGTCCTGCAGGGTGGTAGAATTAGGAGGGGCAGGAAGGCACAGCCAATTCTCAAGGGTGTCCTAGTCAAAATCCAGGACAGAGAGTATGTTTTAGGGGGGTAGGGACATGGTGTGGGTGTCACACACCCCATGAGAGACGTACAGACTCCCTGAGATCTAACTCAAGTCCTTGCCACTGACCAGCGTCTGTTTCTTGCCCTCCTGGGGCAACATGCAGCCCCTGTCTTTGCCCTCCCCTGCCACGGCATGTTCCAGTGTGGGCATCCTGGCTACCTCAGCAGTATTCCCAGGGCTGGGAGGCCAGCTCTGGCCACTCCTAAGACCTAGCCCCCAACCCATGCTGCCTAGAAGCCAAGTAGGCCTGTGTAAAATAAGCTGTTTGGTTTGATTCTGCCTCCACAGTCCAAAAGGGGCAGACCCCGGAGTCCTGTGCTTTTGCTGAGGCTCCTCAACTTTGCCAAATGCGCCGAGCTTTGCCATTCACGTGCTATGTGGACCTTGCCAAAGGTTTATCTGTGCACACTTTGGGGGCTTCCTAGGAGTTGTGTTCTTGCACAGCAGGGAATCTTGTTCCAAGACGTGACTGTTTCCCCTGTAGTCTTAGGGACAAGTCCCAAGGTAAAGGGACCAAAAGCGTATTTTCTTCCCAGGACCCCCATGTAAAGTGTCAATAAACCATGAGTTGTCAGACTGTCACTGAGTCCTGCTTTCCCTCACCTCTGAGTGTCTGGTCCCCATGGGTGTCCCGGGTGTACTTGGAAGTTGCTGAGGCACTGGGGGATTATCTGCAAAGTGCCCTGCCTAGCCAGCCTGGCCTGGTATTCTTCCTGAGGCTCCAAGCCTACCCCCATCGAGGTGAGGTTTCTGGAACCTCGCATGAAAATGGGGAGCCCCAGGAGCCTCCAGTGGCTCTGCCAGAAGCCAGAAGTCCCCAAGCCATTTGCTGCTAAGGATGAACACTACCACACTCCACCCAGTGCTGACAATCAGAAGTGAGCCGACCATTGGGTGCATGCCCTCACCATACCTTCTGAACTATTCAGACTAAAATCAAAGCACTAAGCATTCCTTCTGCCACCATTCCTGTTGCCTGCCTGGCGTTGTGCCCTTTCTGCATGCAGCACTCCCTTGGCTACCCAAACCAGGATGAGCAGTCTGCTGGAGTGAGGCCTCCGTGCAGGATGCAGGCAGCAGCACCTTCAGCTCCCTGGGGCACACAGGGGGAACTCAGCTTGCGGCTGGACTTCAAGAGAAAAATCCCAGAAATGAGTCCAGTGCTAGTATTTCCTAAAGGGCAGGATTTGGGGTGGGCCTTTTTCCCCCACCTTTAGGTTCTCTGAATTCTAATTTTTTTACACAGTAAATATGTCTTTAAAACACTTTTACAGCCAGGGATTTAGCTCAGTGGTGCCGCCACCTGGCTCACAAGCACAAGGTCCAGAGTTCAATCCCCGGTACCAAAAACAAAAACACTTTTACAGTTAAGTGTGGTGGCACACACCTGTAATCCCTGCACTCAGGGGGCTGAGGCAGGAGGATCACAAGTTCAAGCCCAGACTGGGCAATTTAGCAACTTAGACCTTGTCTCAAAATTAAAAATTAAGAGGGCTCAGTGGCACCGCGCCTGCTTCACAAGCACAAAGTCCTGAGTTTGATCCCTGGTACCAAAAAAAAAAATTAAAAATTAAGAAAGATCTGAGGTCCTGGGTTTAATCCCCAATACAGGGGGAGGGGGAGGGGAGGGAAGGAAGAAAGAAAAAGGAAGAAGAAGCTTTTACAGACCAAGGGAGATCAGCCAGCAGTAAAAGGGGTTGGAAGGATGACCGCCAAGGATCTTGGTACAGACCATGGAATGACTGTGGAGTCCCGGCAGCTCCATTGAGTTGGAGGAATCCAGGCTGAAGCTGCAAATGGCAGCACCTAGGCAGCCCCCTCCCTGTGGTGGGCTTCACCTGGCTTCAATTTTGGGCAAGGCTCACCATTCCTGGTGAAAAGGGTCCAGACCTGTGACTCCCTTTGTGGACAGGTGATGGGACCCTTCTTTGGGACCATCGCAGCTTACAGACCTTAAGAGAAACCTTCACAGGGCCCCATCTGACTGCTGCCCTCTGCTCCAGATCTGTGACTCCCAACAATGACTTCTAACTGAGACCTAACCTCAAAGTCGGCCAACAGCAGGATGCACTATGGCTGGTAGTTTAGCAGCCCGAATCCCCAGGAGGGCTTCCTGCAACTGAGACAAGGTGCAGTGCACAGACGCACAGTCCAGCAAGGTTGTGACCCCCAGAATGTGTGAAACTGCTCTTTGAGACCAACTTGAGAGCCTTCCCAATGTCCTCAGGGGATCTCTACTATCATTTTAATTCCAAATGACTCTGGGAAATGCCCAATCAGGGGACTCAGTCATCCTGGCACTTGCCACACTGCTCCCAACACTTGGGCGAAGGATGAAGCAGCCCACAGAGCCAGTCACCAAGCCACCACCTAAGGCAGGGTAGGATTCAGTTTAACACATGGGGTCAAGTGCCAGTGAGCTACAGGGCCAATATATGGTTCAGGACTCAGTGGCACTTTTCAGAGTCCCCAGCTTTGCAGCTCTTGCCATTTGGTCTTTGATTCTTTTTTCAAGGAAGCACAAGAGAAAGGTCAGCAACCAACCAGGAGACCTTGACCTGTACTGCTGGCCAAGCTCAGGCCTCAAGGGCACAGAGAAACCATCATGGATGCCTCCCTCCTCTAGCACAGCCCCAAAATGCTGCCCTGAACTCTTCCCCAAAACTTGGGGGAGGCATGTGTGGCCCAACTCATTTGGGTTTACTGTGCCCCTCCTCCTCAGCCCTATTCTGGAACCCCGAGCCTCACGTATTCTTCCTTTGCCTGTGGGCCTCCTGTTTCCTGCCATAAACTGCTTCCTTTCTCCTGATCTTTCCCAAGTCACCCCAAAATGTCCCCTCCTGGTCCAGCAACATCTGCTGCCCAGAACGGAGGCCTCCTGCCCTCCAGGCCACACTGCAAGAAAGGCAGCTTTAGGGCCAGGGATTTAGCTCAGTGGTTCCAGCGCCTGCCTTGCAAGCACAAGGTCCCGAGTTCGATTCCCGGTACCAAAAAAAAAGAAAGGCAGCTTTATCTTCCTCCATTCTGTCACAGAGGGGCCATCCTTGGAAAAGCAGGGTAACAAGCCCAGAAGGAGAGTCAGCCAGGATGCAGGCCTAAGGTTCCCCTCCAGTCCCTGGCACCCCCCAGGCCCACCCACTTATCAATCTGTCCTCTCACTCTGCCCACCCACTCTGCTCCCTCAAGTCTCCTACTTAAATACATGCTGTCTTGTTGTTCCCTAATGAATTGTCTGAATCTCCAGCTGGTGGCTCTGCACTCTCCTCCTGGCCCCCACCTTCGTGCATCTTGGAGCCCTCTCTCAATGCCACTGGGTGGGAGAAAAGGCAGGCCTGAAAGACCACCAAGGTGCAGACGGACTGCCCTGTAGCTGAAAGCAGTTCACCCACGTGACCAGGTCATCATGATGCCCGGTGAGGGTGAGGTAGGGGAACATGGGTTAGGCTCTCTGCCAGGTGGGGGACAAACTAAATTCACTACAGAGAGCTGAGGCCACAGAGTGTACTAGGGCAGTCAGAACCAGGCTCCACACCTGCCAAAGGGCTTCGGTCTGGCAAGGGGAATCCAAATGCCCAGTACCCCGGGCTAGGGCTAGGTTGGACAGAGCCAGAGAAAGAGGCAGGAATCCCAACTGGAAGGGATGATGCCCACTGCTCAAGGGCTCTCAGGACCCCCACCTGCTTCCCTTCCCACCTCTCCTGGCTAGTATGGGGAACTCAGGAAGAGGCCGTCAGGGCCCTGGCTATGACAAGCCTTCTCAGATCTACCTTCTCATATCTGGCCTTCAGAGTCCTGGACTTCTGGTGTCTCAAGGCCAAGGAGTGGGTGCAGCCCCCTGAGAGCCAGCCCTGAGGATTTGTTCAACCTCAGTAGTGGGTCCTGCTAGTGCCATTTCTGAGAGCTGCACTAGGAGCCGTGGTGGCCGTGCAGCCCAGCCCAGGCAGGCCCCGCCTCAGAGCACCATCCTGGTTAGTCGTTCTGGCTGTGGTGGGGAGACTTTCTCCTCACTCATCTTCCAGCTGCAACAGATTTACAATGCCCAACTCCATGTCCTTTCCCTCCCTTCTCGAGGCCTTATTTGCAAAAGGAACTCCAGTCCCCAGGGCTTACTGGTTTCTGCCCACACTCAGTCCAGCACCACAGAGTGTTGCTTCAGAGTATCATATAGACAGTTGCCATAAATGAATGTCTCTGGTGATTAAAATACATTCTACTTTTCTTTTTTTGCAGTGCTGAGGATCGAACCTAGGGTCTCACACATTATATGCTACATTTCTTAAATTGTAAAAGTAATACTACACATGGTCAAACTTGGAAAAGAGCAAAGAGGAAAAACAGGATTTGATTTTGAGCATGGAACAAAATATTTAGTCAGGGCTGGGGTGTAGCTCAGTACTGGAGCACCTGCTTAGTATGTATTCATGGGGTCCTAGTCAGTCTCCAGCACCAAAAAACAAAACAAAAAAATCAAGGTACATATTTGACAATGCACATTAGAGATTCTTTTTTTTTTTTTTTTTTTTTTTGGTACCAGGGATCAAACTCAGGTCGTTGCACTTGCGAGGCAGGCAGCGGAACCACTGAGCTAAATCCCTGGCCCCTGACAATGCACTTTAGTACTGGTGCAATGCTGCATGACTATAGTCCCAGCTACTTGGGAGGCTAAAGCAGGAGGATCACTTGACCCGAGGAGTTGAGGCCAGCGGGGAGAATATAGTGAGATCACATCTTTTAAAAATCCTGTTTTAAGGGGCTGGAGATTTAGCTCAGTGGTGCCTGCACCTCCCTCGTAAGTGCAAGGTTCTGAGTTCAATCTCCAGTACCAAAAACAATCCTGTTTTAAGATAGGAGGTGCAGCTCAGTAGTATAGCACTTGCCTAGCATGTGTGAAACCAGGGATTCCATACCCAACACCACGAAAGTTAAAAAAAGAAAATTAAAAATGCAGTTTAAAAAGCAAAACCTCTTGAAATGTGCTTTTTGCACAGAGGCTAAAATAATATGGAGAAATCACTGAAGATGAAAAAAAGATTAAGTGCAACAGCTATGAATTTTTTTTTTTTTTTGGTACTGGGGATCGAACTCGGGTCCTTGCGCTTGCAGAGCAGGCAGCAAAACCACTGAGCTAAATCCCCAGCCCTACAGCTATGAATTTTAAAGTCATAACTACATGTACATAATCTCCTAGACAAAGACACACTGGAATTTGATACATTTAGTGTTCCTCTGCGTTGGTATCATGGGTTCCCCGGAAATAAAGGGCCCTCAGTTTACCAAGCTGTTTTTCAGCAGCTGCTGCTAACATCAATGTCTTACTTTCTCATTGCTGAGATAAAAAACCCTACCCCCACAACTGCAAGGAGAACACGTTTATTTTGGCTCTCGGTTGGAGGGGTTTCAATCCATAGCCGGCTGGCTCCAAGGCCGGTGACCTGGCAGAGGGGCACAGCAGAGGAGAAAGAGCTCAGGGTATGGCAGCAGGAAGCAGAGAGAGATCAAGGGAAGAGGAAAGGACATATACCCTTCTAGGCCACGCCCTCAGTGACCCACCATCCTCAAACAGGCAACTCCCCATGTCATAT